CTACTGTTACACCCCTGTTCCCCAGCAGTACGACTTCGCCCTCAGACCCCCAGCATAGTGTGAGAAAGATTCATACACAATGCCGGTAACTGCTTTTAGTCTAATCACTATCTTAACAACTTTCCTGGAATGGCAGGACCTGCAGGAACATTGGTTCCAGCCAGTGTAGCTTGTTGGGTCATCGCGATGTGCAAGCCCGACCACCACGTCAAGGTAGCAGCTATCGGTCGGGTGACTATGATCCGCATGACAGGGACTGTTACAGTGAGACGACCAAATTACTTACTGATTACAGGCATTAATTTTGTCACCAGCTGGAGTCAGTTAGAGAACCCCTGAAAGCCAGTGAGAACTAGACAACTATTTTGATTAAATCCGTTGCCACTCGGACCCCACGCATCTGCAGTCCTAACGCCGTAGAAGCAGAACTAGATCTTCTGTAAGAAACCTTCATCCAAATTGGTTGATCACAAAGATTCATTGAATACAAAATCAAACAAAATTTCACAGGAAAGAAACTTTACTTGCTCCAAAAAAGAAAAATTACACGGGCCTGAATTTCAAGGGAGATGTAACTTCCGACATCAATCATTTTTGAGAAGAATATTCTTCGCAGTAACGAGATGAGTGATGTTCTGCAGTCCTCATTCGGTTTTCAGACGTCTTGAGGATGAGATCTTGCATTTGATCCCTTATGTGTGCACATGTATTAGTTTAGCTGCTCTTGTGCAGCCACATACATTGGTCTAAGAGTGATCAAGAACACAATCACTCATCGTTGTGGAAAGATAGTAGTGGCTCTGGAGAGATCGAGATGACAGAACATCTTATCAACGCTGGTGATTTCATCTCAACAAACACCTCCTTCAAGGTAATCTACGAAGCGAAGAACAACCAGCCGAAAAAAAAATACACTTTCCTGCCTTGGTACTACTGAAGATATAGCCATTCATAAAGGAAATTATTCAACCACTTCTACTGCCATGGTAACAGTCTGGTTGATTTCTACTGACTTGATTTTGCTTGTCTGCTTTCAGCTCTTTATGACTCTTCTACTCCTTTAGAACTCTTGCGTAATTCCATATTTTCTTTCGTTTCTATGTGCATCCTTGTTACAACTCATTTATATAAGACTATTCACCTTGTTACGTAACTCTAATATACTTATTTAGCTCATCTTATGCACTGATTAATGTTAACAGTTATGTTTATGACAACTCATCGCTTTTGTCACTACTTTCTCACATAAAAAGTGAAAATGTGGCTGTGCAGATAAAGAAAAGGAATTCGCTGAAAACAGCCAACTCGCTGAACTCACCAGTGTGACGTTCCTGAAACCCCTGCTTCGGTGATTCAAGCACTTTATGCGTAGGGTTTGAGCACCAGTGTGTGAACACCACTAGTCGCTGAGAATATTAACCAATCTATCCTAAACACGACAGAACACTCATCCTGGATTCCAGTGCTAGTCACGACAATCCAAAATAAAATCTCGTTAGTCCTTAGACATCGTAGAAGCATGCGTACTAGAAGTGGGTGTGTCAACACAAAGATTGAGCATTCTGGTACAACATAAAAATCAACCAACGGGAAGTGCAAATTAAACTAAAAACCAAATAATCGGCGATTTCTGATGACTGTTGTTAGTACTATTAATGAGGTCATAGGATTTATGTGAATCTGGATTAATCCGAATTGTTAGATTTAGCCAACAATCAGAGAGATCATTCAGCACACTTCAGTAGGCCACACCTACAAGCCGGGACCTGAACTACGCCTCTGAAAACGATTTCGAGGCATGACAGTCACAGTTTCCAACCATCGATTTATGATAACCTGAGGATCCCATCCAGGTCTCAGTGATCTATAGTAATTAGATGACGTAATCCTTCTAAGGAAAGACAATGAAGAAATTCAGAGACTTCTGTATGCTGTAAGAAAAATTTAGGTAAGTATGATATTCCATTGTGACCTGTGAAACATAGGATGACTCCTGAAGACTGGTCAGCACCGGATCTTAGTCTAAGGATAGAAAGTAGAGTATGTGGACTTTTTGGTCAATTCACCACATCGCTCCTAATGAACTGATTACTGTTACACTCTGACCATATACATGAAAATATCATTAGGTATTATCCAAAATGCGTCATCTTCGCGGGCTAACATAATATTCGTGTATCCATTTGCCACGTCCTTCTTTACGGCTGGTCACTGAAGGTTTTTCTTTTAAGTTACCGGAATATGTTGAGTAATAATAATGAGGTTAAATGGGGAAAGAAAGTGAATCGACAAGGGTTTTCAAGCTGTATCGACTGAGACAACTAAGATGCAGAAGCTGAAGTAGGAATAGGCTGGAAAAGAGTTTGGAGTGGTCAGCACATAAAACAGCATCAATCTACGAGCCATATAGGGAGTTCTTGACAGGCTGGTTGCAGTCATCACAATGTAAGGTATCAACAGTTGGAGTATGTGAGTGTCATGGGTTGAAATCGTTTTCAGTGTTGCAGTTCAGGCAATGGGTTCGATCCCTAGTGCGACATAGGGTGCGCACTGCTGTAGACTACGGAAATAATAATAATCATTTAATTTTTTCCAAAAACAGTACTTGTGATACAGAATGGAATTTTCAGCATTAATCACAATATTGCATCTAATTTCCTCAAATTATTAATAAAAATTAACCACACATAAAATTTTCCACATTTACAATAGGGGTAATGTCAAAAACATGAAGCATATTAAAGTGGAAATAGTAATAATGATAACAGTTAAGGTAATAATAATAATAATAAAAGTGAAAATTGCCGTAGGCTTGTTTCACACAGTATTGTCGATGTGGTATAGAAATCCTAGCTGGCATGTTTAAAAATGTTGAGTATAATGTTCTGTTTACATGATATGGTAAGGGGAAAAACAAAGATTACAGCAGTCATAGAGATAAGTTGTTGTTTGCAATTATGAGAGTAAAACAAAGAAGCAACAGGACCATAAATATAATAGAAATAATAAAAGTAAAACTTGAAGTTATATAAGGATGGATGGAGGAGATTGTTTATTTACTGGATGAAAAAGGTTAGTCAATTCTTGCCTGACATTATTTTAATCACATAAAATACGTGCCAAGTATGGTATCATAGAATTTTTATACTTAGACGTGCAAGCATACAGTTTTCTGAAGTTACTTCTTGTTCTAGCCTGAGTAGATGCAAGGTGAAAGCTGAGGGTAAAGTGGATGCTCCAAGTCAGACAAAATCCCTCTAGCAAATTTATTGCATGAGGTCAAGTGCCTATCAACAACGACGTTAACTATGTGGTCCACTGGGACACCACTCACCCTACTGACCGTCTTCAGCATTCTACGAATTGTGACAAAGTCCTTTTTAAGCAAACCAGGAAAGAATAAGGGTGAACAATAAAGAAGAATAGGTAGGATTCAAGAGTTTATGAACTGTAAGAGGAGGGGTTGAGTTATACCCGAGTGCCTAAATTACCTAATGTAAAATGTCAGGCGGAATATTTTACTGGAGATCGCAATGACATGGGAAGACCAGGAGAGATCAGAAGAGAGAATAAGTCCAAGATACTTAATTTCTGATGTGATTCCTATATCACTGTCGTCAATCTTACAGCTGTCATGAGAATCGACGGCTTCTTTTAACTGTCTTTTACATCTTAAGCTGAAATTGACAGTTTGACATTTAGAAGGATTCAGTTTAAGACCGTTAGACTCAGACCATTTACTGACTCCCGACAGAAAGCTATTTATTTTGGTACAATCTCCCTGGGAGTTAACAGCCATTGAAACTGTTAAATCAGCAGCGTACTTCACAAAGTTTATTTCATGAAACAGCTGTCCAGTGCTATCTTGGTTTTACAGTGATCTTTATAAATGATGTTGTTTCGCGAAGCAAACCTAAAAATTCAAATTAAATTATGATTATTATGGTAAACCACTTGGTCTTTCACACAGAGTGTTAATAATCGTCAGGTCTATTAAATAAAATAAAGGGATTAACTTTCTCACAGGTTATTTCATTGTTATACACATTCCCACAGTGGTTGCGCGAAACCTATGACGTTTTACAAGCATTATATATATATATCGTGGGATAAAATGCAGAGTAGTATGAATGCACGGAAATAAAATATTCAACTTTGTGAGAGAGAGAAAGAGAGATAAAGAGAGACAGAGAATAAACTCATTGAAGAAATGTACTTATATTTAATTCCGCTGCTTTGTTCACACCCTACAACAACAATCGAGTTGATTATCAAAGGTAGTTTAGGTTAGGTATGGCATACACGGGGCATAAATACTGTTATATATTATTATTTTATATATATATTAAAGTACTGACTAAACTAAAGTCATTCGACCAATCACAATTCAGATACTGGCATAAGCTCTGATTGGTCAGTTTTCACAACAACAACATTAACAACAGAAAGAAACGACAACTTCAAATCAGTCGGACAATAACAACACAGTGTACAGGATATATTACTTTAAAGTTACCAAAGCACAAATAAAAAAGCAGACAGAGAACAGGATAAATGAACTACTTCTGAAAAAAAATATATCCACACAAATATATTCTAATTAAAACTCCCGGAGTAAAAAATAAAAAAAATTGAACGCCCTGAAGAACGTGTGATGCATACAACACTTCAGTGTTGTAACAGGAATACAGTTCAGTTGGCAAGTTGACTTTTCGCACTATTTATCATTGAAGACATTACAAATGTTACTATCTTCGAATGGCATACAGTCTGTTTAGTCACGTTAGACAATGTGTACATATATATGTGTATGTACGCACAAACACACATACACACACACACGCATACAACTGTGCTAGAACACCTTGGGCGAACATGTTTTAAGTCTATTTGAAATATTGATACACCTGAAAACTTGTCTCAATAATTAATATAATCCCTTGTAAAATTTTTGTCAATTTCGCCGGCAGTTTTTGTAAAGCATTTAACCAGAGAAGAATATGTATGTGGATACTTCATCACCGATGGATATTCCGAATGAGTAAGTGAATACATTTTTGGCGGGAAGTTTTACCGTGGTTTCTTTCTGGTAGTTTTTAGTTTAATAATAATACTGGCTTTATTTCCAACAGTACTTTCGACACAAGGTGGAATTTTCAGCATGTAGTACACAGTATTCCATCTAAATTTCTCTTTACGGGAAGAAATAATTAAGTAGGGCATTTATATTGATAACTATAGCTCAACAGCAATATAAATATATAAAATTAAGCAATAAGAAGACGTAATTTGTCTGAATCGTGTAATGTTGTATTTGCGCAACACATTTCGAACAATTTGATCACACAAGGACTTGTCATGGGAATATATGTATATATATGAAATTAATAAAGAGTTAAAAGGTGAGAAAATTGACTTAGGTCAAGTTAAAAGGACATATTCAAGGTCAAAATAACAATGAAGACCACTAAACCAAAGAGCAAAGGTAATAGTACATCTACCCTGGCTAGTATCAAAACAAAATTTACCATGGAAGGTTTAATGTGATGACGAATTGTTTTTGAACGCATAGAGGTGGTTTAAACTTTCTAATTGCTAGGGCTTCCACAAACTTCAGGATACGCCCCAAACACGTTTTATAGTTAACGTCAATTTTATGTCCCGTCTCTATAATATGTTTCGCAATTGAAGAGCTAGGTCTCCTGTTCTCACCATTAATAGGTTCTGAAGATTCCATTTGTTTCTGCAGCCATTTAGAAATATGCTCTGAAGCCCTTACTTGCAGAGATCGATGAGTCCTCCCTATGTATGTGTGTCCACATGTACATTCAAATTGGTAAATGCAGTGGGATGTGACATCATTTTTCGCATGTTCGAAGGGCTTAAATAGATATATTGGCTTTACATTCTCAATTATTATGATATTAGTTGCATAAAAAGTCTTTTTAACAGCAGCGTTCAGTCTTTGTCTAGTTATCAAGCTACTATGATGCCCCACCCATATAGGGTAGCTTGATGTACACATCTTTCTTAGGGGCGAGTTGGAAAAAGGGTCTTGGTGTTCTGACTACTTTATATCTCCTGATGAACTTGTCTGGATAGTTCTTATCAACCAGATTTTGTGTCAACTTTCTTTCTTCTTCATCAAGTGTGTCTTAAGTGCATATTCGTTGGATCCTACTGAAGAGGCACCTTAGGTCAAAATATTAACAGCAATATGACAATGAAAAAAGGAAACACCATAACAGGGCCGTTTATTCAGCAAGTTATTAGTCTCCTGCGCAGCACTTTTCTTATCACAAGACAATGTATGTTCTTCACACTTAGTGGTCCAAGTATAAAGTCTTCTATAGTTGCTTCTAGTCCTACTTGAGGAGATAGATACAAGGATCCTCAAAGTCTGAAAAGACAATATTCACTAATTTCTTGCATTAGTCCATGTATCCATGAGCAGCAGTATTAACAAGTTGGTTTAGCAACTCCCCACTCGCCCTACTGACAGATTTTAATGCTCTTCACAGAGTAACAAACAAAGTTTTTCTCGTGTAGCCCGGGAAAGATTAAGTGGAGTAGAGCAGTAAAGACGTATAGGCAGAATACATGAATTAAACAACTTGGAAAGTAGAGGAGACTGAGTGATACCAAATCGTCTTAACTTCCTTACACATAGCGTCACACGAAATATCTTTCTGGAAACTGAAATGATGTGGGAAGACGAGGAGAGATCAGAGGAAGTACACAATCCAAGGTATTTAACTATTTGATTTAGATTCAACTTCAACGCCTTCTACGATAGTAGAACTGTGCGAACTGACCAGTTCACCCAGGTCGCGCTCGTGTCTCAAAGTGAAATTAACCACTTGACATTTGGAGTGATTTGGCTCAAGACCATTCGACGAGGACCACTGACTAATTTCGGACAAAAAGTTATTCATTTTTAAACGGTCTGAGTGAGAAGTAACCGGTACAGAAACAATCAGGTCACTGGCATACTTAACGAAAATGGTTTCATCAGAATGACGCGAGTCATGTAAGACGAAGGAAAACAGAAAAGGAGAAAGAACATCACCCTAAGTTAAGAACCCCAGGTAGAGTAAGTAAGGCAGTGGAGGATTTCTCATCGTATACAGTCTACTGCTTCCTATCAGAAAAGTAAGGATGCAACCATTTATCAGTCCAGCACCTTGCTTGTGTAGTAGCTAGCTTGTTTAAAAAAGGAGGCTTCGGTACAGATTCAAAGGCTTATGTGTTGTAATCAAGAAGTGGGAAATGAAAGTAATTGGCACCTCTAATATTTTGCTTACAGCTTGATTCCACACCGTATTTTTGGTACAGGTATGGAATTTTCAGAATGTGATATCTGTAGCCCAAATTTCGCAGGCCGACCATAGATATCAGGTGTGCGTCGGCAGGGGATCGAACCCCGGACCACGTGCATGGTCGGCGAGAGTCCTTACCACTGTGCCACTGACGCACTAGAGACAATATTTTGATGTTAGACGACAGTGCCATCTAAAGTACACCTACTATGCTTACAAGCAAATTGATTTGGATCGTTAAAAGCCTTCAGTGAAGGTTCAAGGCTGCGTGCGTAAAAGCAGTATTTCCATTAATGTTTAAATAAGGTTAGGTAATGGCAACAGGTTTAAACTCAACACTTAATTCACTTGATGATTTAGGCACAGGAACAATTTCAATGTCCTTCCAAGAAGCAGGCACAGTGTTAGTAGAAAACGATTCACTGAAAATACCAGTGAGGGGATAACACTAAATATCCGCACATATTCTGAGGATAATAGGAAGCACACCATCTCTACTAAAGGACAGGGTAGTTTTCAAGAATTGAAGACACCTGAGGAAGTCGTTTGTAATAAAACAAGAGACGTGGTCATTATTTACAACTCGTTTTGTTTCATTAACTTTAATCCCATTCAGATATTACTGAAATAAATGAAAATACTACTACGTTTTCCTGAAACTAAGGAATTCAAGCTGTATAAAAGCACACATCGACTGTCAGTATTGTTTTTAAAATTTACTAGGTCAAATGTGCAGTCAATAAATTAAAACCTTGCCTCATGAATTCCCTGATGAAAGGCATGCTTTATTCATCTCAAGTGATGTGAATATTTACTGTCTTAGACTCGATAAACTGAGGGAATCTGTCTGTCGACAGGTAACTAAAGGCAGTCTTCAAAAGTCTCCTTTTATAAATTCATGCAAATACAAGAAACTGAAAAAAATAACGAAACCACAAAACTGACAGTTAGGGGGGAACATGATGAAACATAAATGCATAATACATGTAATAATAATAATAATCTTTGCGTATACTTTGCAATTCACTTACCGATTTAAAAAGTTTACAAGTTCTTTTCTGACATGTGACTCTGTCTGCACACATAAACCCGTGTTAAATATGGTATGGTAAAATTTTTATATTTAGCAGCTGTACGAGCGTAAATTCCTATGAAGTTTCTTGTGGTTCTGACCAAAGATATACAAAGAAAATGCTGCGAATAAGTAGAGAGGATGTTCGGTATCAGGCAAGATAACTTTAGCTAACTGCATGCAAGAATTAAAATACCTGTCGACAACAGTGTCAGTTAGTTGATTCAAAAGCACACCACTGAACCTACTTACAGCGTTCAGTGTTCTACTTAATATGACATAGTCTTTCTTGAGAAGTCCAGGGAAGAATAAGTGAGGCGAACAATAAAGAAGAATGCGTAAAATACATGAATTGATAAAGTGAAAGAGAAGAGATTGAATTATTCCAGAAAGTCTCAACTTCCATTTGTCAGAAATCAACAGGATATGAGACTACCAACACAGATATGAAAATGAACTTATGCCAGAATACGAGACTCTCGATTTACTCTCTATCACAGTGACGTAGATATTATAAAATTCATGGGAGTGAACCGCTCCACCCAAGTCTTGTAAGTATCTGAAACTAAAGTCAACAATATGACATTTAGATGGATTTGGTTTAAGACCATTTGAGTGAAAACAGTGGTTGGCCTCAGACAGGAAGCTATTCATATCAGAATAATGCTTTTCTGAAACTACTGGAACAGAAATCATCAAATTCAAATGTTGGTTTGTAGGGATTTGATTGGTTACAGGATTTTCATCATGAGTTGACATTAGATAGTTCAGCGTACTGCTGAAGAGTCCCAAACTAGGACGAAACAGCAGTCCAGTACTCCTAGGTTTTCCAATGGTTCTCTAACTAATGTCAGCTCATGATGAAAATCATGTAATCAACAAATTATAAGCATATTTAATGAAATTAGCTTTGGAAGAATACGGAAGGTCATGGAAAAAGAAACAGAAAGGAAAAATGGGATAAGTACAGCACCTCGGGGCCCACCAGTTCCCGTTAGCAAAAAAGTGGATTGCTTTTTATTTATTTTGTTTATTTATTTTATTTTCAACCCGATAGATAAGAAGACAACCGCCTTGTGACCCAGGACTCAAAAAGTCCTGAAATCAGTTCGCTTAATAAATATGCCCTAGGAATAGAGTTCAAAGCAGCAGTGTGTAGTCTAAAAGAGAGGCTCGAATAAACTTTGAACCGTCAATTAAGACTCGAAACAATATTGTGGTGGAGTACAATAGCAACATCTAAGGTACTCCCACTGCATTCGTAAGCAAACTGCTTTGGGTCACTAAAAAGTTTCAAAGAATGTTTAACAGCATACAAGAGAAGTCTCTCCCCTTAGTTGGCGATCAGCCTATACTTTAAACCTGATCCAGAAGATGACCTTAGTCCAGGCAGCAGGTACTGTATCCCTGTTGAAGGTTGCATTAGAGATTTGTGTAATAGGATGACACAAAATATCATCACACTTTTGAAGCAAAATGAATAGTTAATCATAAGGACCCAGGTCGTGTAATGTGTTTGAGACATAAAAATACATCTTTTTCATAAAAACCGGAAAAATGATCCCTTATGTGCCTAGAATCATCAGGTATGACCATATTAGCTCGTTCATATCCGAATGAGCATCTAGTGAAATGTGTGTTTCGCCTGAA